AATGAGAGGGAAAATGAGAGGTTTAGTGACATGACATTGTTGAGAAAACCTGAACCAGTGATCGTAGATGCGGAAGAGGAAAGTTCTGGAGATAAGCTTCCCTATGATGGAATAACTATGGAGGAGGGAGGACAAGAAGATGGAGTATATTCAGAGTATACTCTTTTGGAGAAGCCAGAAGCGAGGCCCGAGCCTGAGAACGTAGAAGAGGAAGCTGGAGGTGGTGGAGATGTGGAATTGCAAGAGATAGAAAATACATCAATTCCAACTGGTAATAGATAGAGACAAAAACTAAGACCTTTTGAACAAATAGTCTAACATGGAGCTGATGCATATGCCTGTTGATTTTTTTCAAGAAACGCAGCTTAGTAGCGAGATGTCCTCGGGATCCTCTGAGGAGAAAACCATTAACAGTGATCCAGTCGAGAGAATACCTTCGAATCCAGTTTCTCGAACCACCATAGAAGCTTCTTTACAAGGGAAACCACAAAGGTTGCTTCTGGTTTAGTATCTTGATTAGTTCTGTTGCGGAACTGTAATTTTTTCGCATTTCTTTCGGTTTTAACTGACTGGTTGATTTTGTTATAGATTAGACCCGTCTTCCGCGGAGCCATCAGTTTCAGACAGAGGACAACCGTTAGTCGTGAACCATGAAGGTAGTCAGGTCTCTGTTGAGCTCAAAGGCCCTCCTACCAGATCTCCCTTGGAGGTTCAGAGCTAACACTCTTTAATATTTTTTTTGTTCAAAGTTAAGAGTCGTATGATGATAAACTTGTTTTGTGTGACTTTGATAGGAAAGTGATTGGAATAAGGCAGAGTCTCTAGTTCAGACAGAATTACGTGCGGATGTTGAGCTAATAAGCTCGAGCACTCGAGGATTTGCTGTAAGTAAGATCTGTACTCATTTCTGGTTTCATCTCATTAGCTTGTTTTTCTTCTTCTTCATAATCCCTTTTTTTACAGGTTTCCTATGGATCTTTGATCGGATTTTTGCCCTACCGGAACCTTGCAGCAAAATGGAAATTTCTCGCATTTGAATCATGGTTAAGAAGAAAAGGTATAGATCCGTCATTGTATCGACAAAACCTTGGAGTAATTGGAGGACAAGATGTTACGATTAAAGCTCCATCTCCAGATTCAAGCTTAGTAGATTCTGAAGCCGCTAAGACAGTCATCAGAGAAGTTTCTTCTGATATGAAGCTGGAAGATCTTCTTATGATATATGACAGAGAAAAGCAGAAATTCCTGTCATCTTATGTTGGCCAGGTTTGACAAAAAAAAAATGTAAAAGTTTTATTATCATAGACGGAAATGCTTCGTTTTTTTTACCCTCTAAACATTTTACTCAATGCAGAAAATCAAAGTGAATGTGGTTATGGCTAATAGAAACTCAAGGAAGCTTATATTTTCGATGAGGCCAAGAGAAAACGAAGAGGAAGTTGAGAAAAAACGAAATCTTATGGCTAAGCTTCGTGTTGGGGATGTTGTGAAATGCTGCATCAAGAAAATTACCTATTTCGGTATTTTCTGTGAGGTACTATACCAGATTTTTTCATATGTTTGTAGTACCTTCTTGCTAATGAACCTACAAGAACGGAATCCAGATCATTGTGTAAAACTAAAAAGTTTGGTTGAAACAGCTAGAAGGTGTCCCTGCATTGATTCACCAATCAGAAGTTTCATGGGATGCAACTTTAGACCCCGCCTCATATTTCAAGATCGGTCAGGTAATATCTTGAAGTACATCATATTTCAAGATCAGTCAGGTAATATCTTGACCAACGTTCTTTTTTGGTGTTATCAGATTGTGGAGGCTAAAGTACACCAACTAGATTTTGCTCTTGAACGTATCTTCTTGTCACTAAAAGAAATCACGGTGAGAAAGAGATCTATATATTGTTTATCTTGTCGAAATCGAATTCGATACAAATCTAAACCCTTTTGATATCATTATGCAGCCTGATCCTCTAACCGAAGCCTTAGAATCTGTAGTTGGTGATAATGATCAGTTGGGAAGGTTACAAGCAGCAGAGCTCGACGCTGAGGTATTAAAGATCTTCTGTGCATTTGTGATCAAACTATCATTACGGGTTTCTGAAAAACTTTCTTCTGCAGTGGCCTGATGTGGAATCTCTAATCAAAGAGCTAGAAATGGTTGAAGGAATCCAATCAGTTTCAAAAAGTCGTTTCTTCCTGAGCCCGGGTCTCGCTCCAACATTTCAGGTACTCACTCTAATCGCCTAAAATGCATATATGAAAACACGAAAATCAAAGTGCTGAGATTTGAACACTGTTGCGATCCTCCTAAGCGAAAAATGTGAACTTTCTATGTTTTGATTGGAATCTAATAAGATCTCTGGTTTGTATTCTTTCTCGCTGTGTAGGTTTACATGGCACCAATGTTTGAGAACCAATACAAACTGCTTGCTCGAGCTGGAAACAGAGTGCAAGAGGTAAAAGAAAGAAAGAGAAAGATCTAAATCATAGTGTTCTGTTTTTTTTCTTGAATCTTGGATGATTTAGTTTTTTTGTTTGGACTGTTTATTAATCGCAGATTATTGTTGAAGCATCATTGAGCAAAGAAGAGATGAAATCTACAATCATGTCATGCACAAACAGAGTAGAATAAGAATATTTTGAGGAATGAATGATTCCACTAGTTTTTTGTATTCTTCAAAGTGGTATCATCCAAAGACTTATTATGTACAACAATATATATGATTTCTAATGTAATATTTTCTGAGCTTTGATGATGTGAATCACTTCTCATCTAAAGATTCATTTGTAAATGTAATCAAACAAAAAATATCTCCGTAAACTGTAACTAAAA